TGGCCCGGAGCGGGCGCCTGTGCTTGGCGGAGATGGTGACCTCTCACCACCCACGGCCACCTTGGAAGGAGCGTGGCAGTTCCTCCCAGCCTTGTCCAGCTGCGGTGGCCGTGTCCTTCTGTGGGCACGGCTGGGGCACATCAAGGGTCCCCTACAGTCTGGTCTCTGGGCTCTTCCACGGAGCGAACACTTTTCCTGCTTTTTCTCTGAGTCTCGATCCTCTCGGCCGCAGGAAATGGCTTTTATTTGGTCAGCTCAAGTCCTAGGTTTGTGCACAGAGAGAGGACCCTGCCCTGGCAGATGGGACTCCTGTCCCGTGTGTGCACCCGCCAGCTGGCACCAGGCGGTGGCGCCAGAGGGGCGGCCTGGGTTTGTCCCTTGCTGGTCACCCAGGCCCGCTGGGAAGTGCTGCAGGGACGCACACTGCCTTTGGTAAGACACGGAGGCTGCACAAATGGGCCCGAGGTCTGTCCCTGGCGCTCCCTGCTGTGCGTGTGTTTGTCCCCTGCTGTGTTGACAGCAGTTGCTTATGCAGGTGCATGCGGGCCCAGGTGGAACCTAAATGCTGCTACTCTTGTCAAGTCAGGACGCCCTACGGTGACGCACCAGAGCTGGGGTGCCACACATGCCTCCATATTTGATTTCATGGCTCGGCCTGGTGGCACCCACCTGTAATCCCATCACTCAGAGGCTTTGGCAGGAGGACTGCTGCAAGTTCAATGCCAGCCTGGGCTACAGAGTTCAAAGCCAGTGTGGACCACATAGCAAGATCCTGTCTCAAAAACAAAAGTGTATTTGATCCCGGCAGCCATGGCTGTGGGTAGAGGCAGCCATTTATGCCACCATAGTGTTGCGTGCTATGCCCAAGCTACAAATACCCTGGTAGGCCAGGTATGGGAAAGCTGGGGAACACAGACCTCACTGGAAGTTCAGAACAGCTGTGGGACAGGTACCACGACCATCTCCAATTTACCTGTGAGAGAACGGAATTTCCAAGGGGTGGCAAAACTGGACCAAAGTCACAAGCAGCCTGGCCCCAGGGTCCCAGTGCCTAGGACCTCAGACCGGGAGTCTTGACCCCGGCTGCATGTGGGATTCTGAGGAACGTGGATAAAAGGAAAAGCCAGAAATTGTCACAGCCAAGGGAAATCTAAGGAGGCAGGATGACCAATGAAATGTTACAAGGAATGGGGGTAGCACAGAAGACATCAGAGGAAGACAGAAAAATCTAAATGATATATGAGGTGTGATTGAAGAATAGGGAATGTTTAAATTTCAAAACCTTTGGGACAGTAAAAGACACACTGCCATAAATTCTCCTCAAAATCCTCCGACTGGCTTCCAACACGCTTGTCCCACCGTCCCGCCCACGTCCTGCAGCAGCTCTGGCGTCCTCTCTCTGAGGGTCTTTAGCTGAGCTGTCCCGGCTGCCTCGATGTTCTGAATCGACTCAAAACCGTTCCCTTTCCTGGTCGTTCTGGCTTTGGGGAGGAGCCAGAAGTCGCTCCGTGCCGGATCCGGTGACCGGTGGACCAGGACACAGCGCCGTGTTTTATGAGCTGCCTTTCTGCTGGAGGGGGCTCGGCAGCGCAGTCACTGTATTTTTTTTGTTGTTGTTTTGGTTTTTTTTTTCCGGTATCGGGAATCGAACTCAAGACTTTGCGCTTGCCAGCTGAGCTAAATCCCCAGCCCCGCCATCACTGTATTTTTGATCCCATCTCCGGAGAGCTGCTCAGAGCCGGGCAGGACGATGGGCGGAGCGTGCTGGCGGCAAGGGGCGGGGCTTGAGGGGCCCCAGGGCAAAGCGTCTTTTACCGCAGCGAATATTTTATGTAAACGCTCCCTGTACCTTGGGTCACCTTTGTACAGACTTCAGTTCATAATAATGCTTCACTGTTAGTCTATTACCGCAAATGTACCACCCTGAGGTCAGACGTTAACACCGAGGGAAACGAAACGAGATGTGGAATATAGAGCAACGCTCCTCCGTGCTATTTTGTAATCCTTCTGACGCGTCCTAAAGTCATTAGTTTATTAACACAAACACGCCCCGAGAAGCTGGGGCCACACCTCCGGACCAATCAGCCCGCGGCGGGGCGAGGAGCACCAGAGGGCGCCCTGAGCACATCCAGGGTCCAGCGAGGGCCGAGCCCGTGGCCTCTTCCTAGTCACACCCGCTCCCGCTCCGCAGGAGGGATTTGGCGGAGGGTTCACTGTTGCCAGGCAACCAGCAGGGCAGGCAGGCGGCCGGGGCAGCGCCGGAAGTCCTCCCTGGGGGAAAGTTTGTGGACGCGGCCTGGCACCCCGGGTCCAGGTTCACATCCCTGGCGTCCGGTAGCCATGTGGTCCTGGGGGGCAGGGTGGCCCAGGGTGCAGCAGGAGCTGCCGGGCAGCTGTGTGCAGGACACAGCACGTGTGGTCCGGGGGAGCAGGGGCGCAGGGCTGAGCGGCCCAGGCCCCACCCGCCCCCTCTGGCTGAGTCTGCCTGCCTACCCTTGCACCCCCCACCTGTGTGCCTAACCTCTGCACCCCCCACCTGTGTACTTAACCTCTGTCCCCCTGCACCTGCGCTCCTAACCTCTGCACCCCTCACACCTGCGCACCTCAGGTCTACGCCTCCCTGCACCTACACGCCCAACTGCTGCATCTGTGTGCTCAACCTCTGCCCTCTCACACCTGCCTGCCTAACCTCTGCCCCCACCCACACCTGTGCACTTAACCTTTACCCTGCACCCTCCAGTCTAACCACCACCCCACCACCAGGCAGGAGGTGCGGCTGATGGGGCAGGAAAGCACCCACTGCGGAGCTGGGTGGCGAGCTGGCACCCACACTGCAGCCCCTGCAGTGGGAATCATGGGAGAGCTGCTCCAGGACCAGCGGAGGGCAGTGTGTGAATGCTCCCTTCCCCCGGCCCAGCCGGCCCAGGCTCGGAGAGGTGCCGTGACAGTCCTCACCCCGCTGTCCACTCCACCTGAGGCTGGGGCGCCGGGGCACGCGCGTGGCTGGCCACTTCCTGGGATGAGGCAGGCTGAGCACCGAGGCACTGCCCAGTCGCAGCTGGAGGAGGCACAGGACGGAGCCTAGAAACACGTCCTGCAGACGAGCGACTCCCACGTCCCTGCGGCGCCCCAGACCTGTCCTTGCCCTGAGGATGAGGCGGGAGGGGAGGAAGAGGGTGAGCCTGCTCAGGTGCGGAAGGTCGATGAGCACAGCCCAGCGGGGCAGCCACCACACCCAGCACTGAGCTGCTGGGAGCACCCCCAGTCATCCCCTGCCACCCCGCCAGGCTGACAGCCACCACTGGACACCCAGGGGACGCAGGGAACCGAGGCAGGCGCCGGCCTGAGCGCCAGAGCCAGGGCTCGAGTGTGTCCGGCAGATGGTGACTTGAACTTCAGCGCCCTTCCCGGCTGTGTGAGGTGGGGAAAGTTCCTCGGCCTCTTCCGGTCTCATGTGCCTGTCATTGCTCAAAACTCCTGAGCTCACCCTGAGGATGAAATGGGAAGGCAGAGACCCATTAGCTGCCAGGAGCAGCCGCAGCCTCTATGTGACGGTGACGTCCGTGGTGTCAACTTGCCTGCTTGCCAGCCTTCTAGGGCGTTAGCACGGTACCCTTCAGTGTCGGTGGGTGACAGGTGTGACTCGGGCACCATAACCTGTCTGTCCCTGGCCCCTTCCTCTCTGGCGCTGTTTCCTGCTCCGCTTCCCGTGCGCCGTGCGGTGAGCAGCTTTGCTGCACCATGCCTTCCACCTTGATGTTCCTGCTCTGGAGCAGCCACCGTGGACTGAACCCCTGAAACCGTAAGCCAGAGAGCCAGTTCCTCCTTGAAGCTGTGGGTGTCAGAACTTCGTCCCAGTGACAGAGGCTGGCTGAGGCAAACTATTACTATTAGAGGGGAGGTGGCCACAGAGGGCTGCTGTGGGCACAGGGAGCTGCAGGCCAGGGACGGGGACGTGTTGGAAGGACGGTGCAGTGGCTGGGAGGGGGTCTGGAATGTGGGACATTCTCGGTGCCCGAGGGGACAGCGGAGCAAAGCCTGGTGCTGCTCAGCACCCAGAGTGAGTGAGAAGCAGAATAGTGGGGGACGAAAGGGTCCAGGCTGCAGGCAGAGAGCGGACTGAGGAATCCCAGCACTCAGAAGGCTGAGGCAGGAGGATTGCTGAGAGTTTGAGGCCAACCTGGACTACAAAGTGAGACCCTGTCTCAAAAAACAAAACAACAACAAAATGATGTCTTATGGACATGTACCAACTCTCCTCAGTGAGTGTAATCACTGTGTCCTGCAAACGGGTACGGATAAAATACAAAGTAAAGATGTTCAGGCGTCAGAGGAATACCCACCGCAGGTGCCCCGGAACCTCACTCCCCACAGAGCAGCCTTGCCTAGGCGCGGCCAGCTGGGGGCGTGCCCAGCCCTGAGGAGCCCTGGCACACCTGGGGGGCTCGGTCCCCGCCTTGCAGGGACACAGGCCTGCCCCACCACCCGCTGCAGGCTGAGCCGGGGCTTGCACCGGCCTGTTTGCCCTTGCAAGGCACCACCGTGCTGTCCCCTCGACTGGTAAGGGACGCTCTTGCAGAGCAGTCACCGGGCTGGGGGCATTCTGAGCAGAGCGGCCAGCTTCCCTGTCTGCGGTCACCGGCTACCCGTCCTCCTTCGCACCGCGGCCCTGCGTTCCTGTGGAAGGATGGTGACGCCGATGTTTGGAATATTTCAAATACCGGCCCGGCCCGGGAACAGGCCGTAAACACAGAGGCGGAGGGGAGGGGGGGGACCGGATGAGCCGCGGCCACCAGCACCTGTCCTCCGGGCCGCAGCCCAGGGCAGCCTCGGCCCCCGGGGACACCAGAGCCACACACCCGGCAGGCTCAGCCCCGGAGCCAGGCAGCAGCTGCGGGTGGGTCTGCGGGGCGGCGCCCGAGGAGTAGAAGCCCCCAGGACTTTGATTTCTGGCCCAAGGCGCATTTTCCACAGCGGCAGTGGCGGCAGCAGCGCCAGGGCCCTTGGGACCAGCATGGAGCCTGCTCGGTGACAGGTGGGTGCTGTGACACCAGGACAAAGTATCGCTTACTCCCCGCAAACAGGTGCAGCCTGGCTCCTCTGCCCCCGCGCTGGCAGCCACAGCCCCGGGCGCCCGGCGGATGCCATGGGGCAGGGCGGTGCCTGTGGGCCAGGGCTCCTGGCGGTCAGCTCCTCCAGCAGAGCCCCTGGCCCCCATGTTGATGACCAAGGCTCCTGGTGCCACATCAGTGCCCGCTCGGAGGGACCCAGCTTAGGGCAGCAAAGGGCCGTGAAGGAGTGCACTGCACCCGGGCCGGGGACTGGCAGCTGGCGGTCAGCTTCTCAGGGAGAAGTTACACGGCGCGGGTGAGCCCTGTCCCCTGGCCCTGAGCTCTGCTTGCTGAGAGCGCACGGGACAGGCCCTGGGTCTGCCGGTTCACAAAGGGACACAAGGCGCACGTGCCGGCTGTGAAACAGCCCCCGAGGGTGGAACTCGGGGCAGAACCGCACTCTCGAGCCGGCTCAGCGGGCACATGGGTCCCGGGCTCAGGGCTCCCGCCCGCCAGGCCGCGAGCGGCTCCCCCGCCGGCCCCTCCCCGCTGGGCTGACCACAGGAGCCAGCGGCCAGGCCCGTGTCCCACGCACGAGGTGAAAGTGCTGAGGACCCCGTCCTCCGCCAGCAGAGGCTCAGGTCTGGGGACTGCGACGCCCGCCCTCCCAAGGATGCCACAGGAGTCCCAACCACAGCCTGGCCCAGGGCAGTGCAGACACCCGGCGCCGGTGCCCAGCAAGGCCCTGTCCTTCCCCACCTTGTGAGTCACGGAGCGGGGTCCCTGCCCCCAGCCAGCCGCTGCCCCTCCCGGAGTTTTGGCTTCCTCAGCTCCAGAGGAGGAGGCCTGGCCCGAGTGACTCCGATCTGTCTGTGACGTTCACTCCAGCCAGGTCGGGCCGTGCCAATCTCACCGTGCACCAGTCTGCCCATTCCGTCCTCGCCACACCCCCAGGGCAGCTACACCCGTGAGCTCTGGCCACAACACAAGGGCCTAGAGCACAGAGAGGGCGAATGACTTCCCAGGGCCACACAGCCAGTGAGCAGCTAGGTTCACACAAGCACTCTGATTCTCCAGTCTGTGCTCTATTACACCTGTCATCCCAGCACTTGGGAGGCTGAGGCAGGAGGATCACCATGAGCTCAAGGCCTGAGCTGCACAGTGAGAGTATCTCAAAACAAAACAAAAATGTCACTACCCCATCCCAACCCTCTGCCAGACACAAGCTTATACTGTGAAGGGCTTCAGAGGTGTGGATCCTGTCAGCCCTGTCCTGCCTTCCGGTCGCCTGGCATGGTGCGCAGAGGCACCCAGCTAGGGTTCTGGGTCGGCTATGATGCAGGCCTGCCTGTCCCAGGTCCCCCAGAGTGGTCCCAATGGTCTCCCTAAGGATTGCTTTCACCCCGCAGGAACTGGAGTTAAGTGCCTGACCCTGGGCACCTCGCAGGGCTCCTCCTGCCTCAGCTTCCTGAGTGCTGAGATGACAGGCTTGTGCCACATGCCAGGAAAGCCCTACTTTTACCGCCGACGCAATAGTTCATGCAGTGGTATTCCCAGCTGAACATTTTCCCTGGTGGTGACAATCTTTGATCAGATCTCTGATTATATCCCTGGGACAGATGCCCAGGCTTGGCATGGTTGGATCAAGGGCCAGGCACAGTTTTAGGGTTCATGATACGTAATCGTGCAGCTCAGTTTTAATCTTTATGAGCCCTAGTTTCCTCATTGGTAAACAGGAGGAAAAATTCCAACCTCAAGGAGTGGCAGGGATTACACAAGATAAGATAGGAGACACTTTTTGTTTTTTTGAACTAGGATATGGCTAGGTAGCCCAGGCTGGTCTTGAACTCATGAGGATCCTCCCTCCTCGGCCTCCCCGTTGCTGGGGTTACAGGAGTGCGCCACTGCGCTGGGCCGGGAGCAGACCCTCCGCTAGTTTGTGAACCAGCCACCATTACTTTGAGGCTAAGCAGGAGAGCTCTTAGTCTTTTAGTCGGAGCTGGGTTTGGGTCCTAACCCTGCCTCCTTTGTGGCTGTGGACTTGAGCCAGCTCCATGACTCTGACCAGAGCAATCCTTTGCGGTCACCGGGAGCGACGTTTCTCCAGGGCTGCTCAGATGACGGAGGCGACGTCTCGGGGGTCTGGCTTCGTCCTGCGCTCAGCCGCTTGGTAACTCACAGCCGTCGGTTCCGATCAGGGCTTGTGGTGGCACAGAAATGCCGCTGCCATCTGGCTGGGGGACATCAGGCTCCTGGAGGCTCGGGAAGGACAGGAATCGGGTGTGAGAGCGGCTGGGCATGGCCAGGCCGCACCCCAGGAGCTGCGGTGGAGCCCCGCTGCCTGACTCCTCCTGCTTGGCTGTGAGCGCCTTGGCCGTGCCGTGTCCTCGCACCACTCACGTCCAGAGAGAGGAGTCCTGCTGGTGGCCGGGGCGTGGGCGAGAAGTCGTCTGCTTCTTTCCTGCAGCTTCTCCAGACCCACAAAGCGAGGGGGTTTCCTCCCACAGGAAGCAGCTCAGGTCCTGACAGCGTGAAGAGCCAGGCCTGCTCCGTCGGTGAGGAGGACCAAGGATGCCGAGCAGAGCTGCTTTGTCCTGTGTGCGGAGCACGGTCTACAACCAAGCTACAGAGCCGTACCGGGCTTTCCTGCGACAACAGGACTGTGACCTTCTGATGGCTTTTAGGGGCGCACTCATGCGCGTGCGTGCGTGCGTGTGTGTGTGTGTGTGTGTGTGTGTGAGAGAGAGACAGACAGACAGACAGAGATGGAGATGGGAACCGAGAGAGACAGACAGACAGACAGAGACAGAGACAAAGACAGACAGACAGACAGAGAGAGACAGCGGCGCACGAAGGTGAAGCCTGAATCTGTGAGTCACTGGCGCTGGTCAGACCTCTGCTTCCTGTGGGCTGGATGTGACAAGACTGCGTAGGAACAGAACGAGCAGGAGGTGGACGGTCCCTCGGCCAGCTTGGGCTGCCTGAGGGCTGCTCCGGCCCCATGGGGACCCGTGACCTGCGGCCGCATGCAGACCATGATCTCGTAAGCACAGAGGCCGCCGCGTGGCTCAGTTCCCCCAGCCCCGAGAGGGAGTGAGGTCGGGGTGTCGGGGTCCCCTTGCACAGCCCCCGAGGGCTGGCTTGGGCCCTGGAGCGGGTCACCTGCCTGTGAGGTCAGCACCGAACTGCACAGGTCCCTGTCCTTGTGGATGGGGCAGGGCCACCTGCCCTGGACTGGACAAGGGGTCAGAAGCGGTGGCTTCCCGGGAGGCGGATCTCCAGCAGACGCCCCGCTCCCACGTCTCGCGGACCGCTCACTCACGCGGTGAGCGATCGAATGAAGCCAGCAGCTTCTCCCGCACGGCCTCTCCGGCCCGCGCTGCGGGGAAGCATTGAGGCCAGTGCTGGGCCTCCCCCCCCGCCCCCTCCCCCCGCTCCGACCAGGCTGCCGAGGCCCCTGGGGTCGGGTCTCCGGGAAGGGTGCGGATGGGAGCGGAGCCCGCCTTTCCGGCCTCCGCGGTGACTCGGGCTGCGGGAGGACGCCTGCGGCCCCAGGAGGAAGCAGATAGGCAAGTGGCAGCCCGGGACCCGGGGGTTGCCAGGGGGTTGCTGGGGGGGCTTGGTTTCCCCCAGGCTCCTGCAGAGCACTGCACGCGGGCGTCGCTGAGCGGCCGTGCGTGGCTCTGCTGCTGAGGGAGTGCGACAAGCGCCGCTGCTGCGGTGCCTGCGACGGGGGACGTCGCTGAGCCGGCCGCCTGCGTCTGGGCAGAAATAGAGCCGGCAAGTCGTCTCCCTCGTCACGGACTTCAGGCTCGGTGGGGACACGGCCGCCCGCCCGGCGTTGTGGAAGGGCCGCGTGACCCTTGCGCCTCTCAGCTGTGGTGGGGGATGGCTGCCCTCCCCCGACCCGCCCGTCCGCACAGCGGGATCCAGGCTCCCGCGGACGCTGCCGCCCCCCGCACCCCGGCCCTCTGCCGGCCAGGCGCCTCCTGCCGTGCCCTCGGGGGGCTGCGGGCGCTCGAAGCCTGTCCTAGCGGGCTCTTCCTGCCTGGCCACAGCGCGCGCCCGCCCCCGGCGCCTCCTCCTGCTCTGCTCCCTCGCGGTGCTGGTGGGTCTCCACCCCGCTCTCAGGCCGTGGTGGCTCGGTCATTGCCTCTGTCCTTCTCGATTTAAACAGCTTCTGCGCCTCACAGTCGCGGCCGGGGCTCCCCTCCTTTGCTCCGAAATTATCAACACCATCAAGCGGTCGGCGGCCCTCTGGCGCGTGGAGGAGTGACGTGACGATGGGGCCGGCTGGCAGTTCAGAAGCAGCGGTGCAAAGCTCTGGGGTGATCGGTGGTTGAATCTGTTATGCGATCTTGATTTTTAATTTTGAGTAAAACCAACTTTCCTGAGCGCAGGTTTTAGATCTTTTGGGGCCTCTGTCTCCTCTGTTCAGAATAGTGGTTAACCATTTTTTATTTTGATTCAGGGTCTCATTAAATGGTTGAGTTTCCCAGGTGGGGTTCTAACTTGAGACCCTCCTGCCTCAGCCTCCCAGAGTGCAGGGATGATGGGCGTGTTGCATGTAGTCAGGTTCCTTTCTCCCCCGAACTCCCCGTGGCATTGGTCGATTTCCTGCTCTGGGGTGCTCCTGGCCCCCCCACCTCCATCCACCCCAGCCACTCCTCCCATCCCCCCAGCCCCTCTGTCCTGTCTCTACCCAAACGGCCACCCTCCCTGTCCCAGCCTGTGTTCCCGCCCACGGCCCCGTCAGCACCAGCGGCTCCTCTCTGTGTCCCTGCTGCAGCCCCTGCTGTCCCTGATGAGACCCCGAGCTCAGCTGGGCCTAGGAGGGCGGACGAGGTCGCACTTCCTCACTCCTGGCGCCTCGAGCTCTTCTCCCAGAGCCGCGTGTCGCCCTGCCCAGAGCCTTCTCACCCTCTTAGTCCTGACTGACGCCTCACAGCTCCTCCAGCCTTGCGAGGAATAGGGACGCCAGGCTCGGGATCTGGACGGCGACCTCCTCGGACCCCCAAGTGACCACCGTTAATGCTGATGGATCCAAGAGTGTCTTAGACTACAGGGCAGCTGGCGCTTAGGGGAGAAGCGTATTTCTTTTTCCAGCTGGGTGTGGTTGTGCGTGCCTCTAATCCTAGCACTCAGAGGCTGAGGCAGGACTATCCCAGGAGTTTGAGGCCAGCCTGAGTTACACAGTGAGATTTTGTCTCCAAAAAAATGGTGGGTAAGAAATGTATTTCTTTTGCATTAACAGACTGGCCACTGGGGCAGGGAGGGGGTCATGTCCCCTTCTGTCTTGTCGAGTCCCCGAGCTCAGAGCGGCTGCTGTGACCATGGTCCCAACGGCTCAGCACTGCCTCTAACGTCCCAGCCATTGGCCTGCAGGGCGCGGGCCGGCAATGGAAAAGAGCCCTGCCGGCCTCAGGCCAGCGCCAGGGCAAGAGCCACAGAGGGCCGTGGCCAGGCGCACAGTGAGGAGGAGGACGCCCCGCCTTTCTGAGCAGCGGCCGGACAGACGCCGTCTCACCCGACCGTGGCCGTGCAGGGAGGCGGCTGCGCTGGTCCCACTCCTCGCAGCCTGAGAACAGCAGGAGGGCCAGCTCTCCCCGCTGCCTGTCCTGGGAGGGCATGCCGGGCTGCGCTTGGGACCCTCGAGTGTGTGCAAAACACGGCAGGGGAGTGCAGCACGCTGTGGCCTTCACGTGCAGCCCGAGGGCCGTCCCAGGTCCAGGCAGCGGTGAGTCCCGGGGTCTGACGTGTAGACACTGACTGTTACCTCCAGCTGCTGCTCCTCCGCACGGAGAAACGACCACGACCTCCCGGGGCAGGACCGCCGGGGCTCCTCTGTCTGCACCGCCCGGCCACTCGCCCCCACGCGCCCTCGGCCACCGCGTCTGAGCACGGGGCACGCGCAGCCAGCTTTGCACCAGGAGGATACGGGTTTCCTTTTGCCACGGCCTCCTGTGTTCAACACGCTCACACATACACACACACTCACACATGCATACACGCACACAAGTACCCCCCACTCACACACACACGCACACTCTCACACACACACCCACACATGCATGCACACACAAGCACCCCCCACTCACACACACAAAACACCCACACTGGTGCACATATAAACACATGCACTCTCACACATGTACATACACAAATAAACACAGTCACATTTACACATACACATTGCACACACATGTGCACGCACACACACACACACACGCGGTTCTCTTAGCTTCCCAATATAGGTACAGTTTAACCTTAGCCAGATCAGTATTTTCACAGCTGTGTCATCTGCTGCAGTTTCCTCTCACTTTTCCCGCGGAGTTCTTGGTGGCCTCTGGAAGCAGGTCCCTATCTTTGCAGTCTGCGCACGTTTTTATGTCCCTGCCTCTAACCTGGCCGTAGACCGGCCAGCCACCGCGTCGGTTGTCTCTGATCACAGACGCAGTCGAGGGCCTGTAGGTTTCGTCTCCCGGAAGCCACTTCTCAGTCCTCAAGGCCGGGCGACAGCAGCGAGGGGGTCCCCCGCCATGCTGTGGAGCTGGCTGCTTCATGCTTGTCCCGTGAGGTAAAGCGACCTCGGTCTGCACCTGAAGGCGCTCAAAAACTCCCCAGAAGCTGGGCCTGGTGGGGTACACCTGTAATCCCTGCACCGTGGGAGGCTGAGGCAGGAGGATTCAGGTGGGAGCCCAGGCTGGGTAATTTAGCAATGTAGCGAGACCCTGTCTCTAAAGAATAAAGCGGACTGAGGATGGAACTCAGCACAAAGGCTCTGGGTTCAATCCCCAGTCCTGCAAGAAGCAACCAGGCAAACGCAGCTCCTTCGGAAGGTCTGGCCTTCCCCCTAGCCGCGCACTCTCCTCCAGTATTTATTTTTGCGAGACACACAATACTCTGACCGCAAAATATGTTTTTCCCAAAAGAATAACTTGCTGAAGCCAAGCCAGAGCAGCACTGTACTCGTGAGCTCCCCTTTCCTGTTTTCGGGCCCTTCATGGAAACCCGAGGGAACAAAGCTCTCATGTTTATGAGGTGAAGTCTGGGTGTCGGGCCCTGGCCTCCTGCTGCCCATTGAATCTGAGCATCTGGAGAAGAAAGCCACACTCTTGGCTGAATGAAAACAACCTGAATCCGACGCCTGCAGCCGGCGAAGCTGTGCTGTGCCACGGGCGCGTCACCAGCAGGACTCTGCCCTCCCGAGCCAAGCTCCCGCAGCTAAAAATAGCCTCGGCCTTTCCCGGAGACTTGAAAACAGGAACAACCTGCTGCTGTGCCCGAGAGGGCACCGGCCCTGTGCCACCGGGCTCCACACAGCGGGCAGACCCGCCAAGCCGGGCCGGCACTCCAGGTCTCTGTGACAGCTTGAGGGTGTGGGGACAGAGCTGG